ATGTGTGTCTTTGGCCGCAAGCTGATCGCCACGGTGTGCACACCCAGGCAGGGGGAGCTCATCGCGCTCAAGCTAGGGCATCTGAGAGGCGAGAGCCTGCTCCGCAGCGCGTGTGCGGTGTGGGCCCGACGCCACCGATAGAGCCGTACACGCGCTGACGCACGCAGAGCGCGAGTGGCGTACGCACGGGGTGGTTTATATACAGAAGCGCCGGTCAGGTTCGGTTGTGCGCATTGTCTGCACGCGTGCACGGGCTGCACGGTCGCGCGCATTGTATCGTACTGGGGTTTGCCTGTGTCCTCCTCTAAAAATGAACACCACAGAGAGCATACACCGCGCCGCAAAGGATACACAGAGGAACGAACGAACGCCGTGCATATAGGAAAGCGCGGAGTTGTGCGGCGTGCAGCTGCGAAGAGGCAAGAGCGAGCGAGGGTCACCTAGCCACCCTTCTCTCTGCAGGCACGGCGGCGCAGCCCGCCCACCCAGAAGGCGTTCGCGTGTGTGGTGTGGCGTGTGAGTATGTGTGCGTCGTGCAGGCATCGACACGAGACGACCGGTGCGGGCTACTGAAGGAGAGACCATGCGAGAGGAGCGGGAACGGGGGCGGGGCAGCGGTGCGCGCGTCGCCGTCATACGCGAGAGAGGCCGAAGAGGGCCTCGCTCCATAAATTAATGGGCCCCGGCCGCGGGCGTGTGAGCCAGTCGGCCGGACTGGGCGTCGCATTAGACAGACGCCGGCGAGGGCGGCTCAGAGTGGGACGCGGTTGCGCATGAGGGGCCGGAGTTTCCGAATCTGACCTGTCCCCCTCCGCCGCTGGGTGGCCGAGGGAAGGGCGGTGCGGAGGACGACACTCAAACGCCGCTGGATCCGGCGGTGGCGGTGGCGGCGGCGGCGGTGCTCGCGCCGTTCTTGGTGAAGGCGTTCACTGCCTGGAGAGCGGCGGTGAGGGGGCGGTGAGGAAGAGTGATGGAGAGCACGGGGCGGGGTATAGGCTGCGGGAGACGCGAGGTACGGAGGGAGAGGGGGCCAGGGGTGGTGTGTGTCTCTGTATGTGTGTGTGTGTCTGTGATCTGTGTGCTCGTCTGAGCTTCGTATGGGTATGAGTGCCTGGGCTGAGCGTTCCCTTGAGGGCCTGCTTGGCCTGTGTGCCATATGTGTCATTCATGTGTCTCCCTCGGCCGGCTCGCGGAGGGGCTAATCCGTTCACTTCCGTGCGCTGCCCCGTGACGGATGGGTGGGTCCTCTGAAGGCCCATTCTCGTTTGTCTTTGGTAAGTAGAT